ATATAGTGCTGGGGTCCGCGCGGACCCCAGGTGTACTGTTTAGGGTTAACTGATTCTTAAACCCAACATCCTTGTGACGCAGTTATTTTTTTAAAATTCACTAAGTGCTGTCTTTTATTCGTCTTCTGCTTGGTTTGAATAGTAATACGTTATACCTACATTACATACTTTATGCATTGCAACTATTTGACATACGTTGCCTTTGTCCCTATTTTACTTCCTTGTGACGCAGTACCTTCTAAACAAGCTCTAACCAAGGCAATTACAGAGAAATTTACGACTAATTGTCCTCATTTCTTGATCACAGTCTACTTCTTATTCCCACAAGTTTAAAATAACACTGTAAATAGCTGGGATGAATACAGTGTCCCCTTCCTGTACATGTCCTGCAAAACCTACCGGGGAGTCATGTTTAACTGGGCGGCCGGGTAAGTGCACATACCCGTATGAATCCCGGCTAGGCCACGATAGACTAGACACCGCCCTGACTGTTCTTACATTCGTCTTTTGCTTGTTTAAAAGTTATGAGGGAAACATGTTATAAAGAAGATCACGGTTTGTTTTCTTTATCATTTCTGAAAATATGTTTTACATGCTAAATAAGATTGAGATCATTTAAAATGGGATGACAACAAGACGCTTAAAATGGTATCGTCCTAATCTCAAAATTAACTTAACCTTCGCACCCACAGGCGTAGTCTGAGAGATCCTGTCGCCCAACTGTGTTGGCTTGCAATGGTAGCCTTAGATTTCATTAACGTTTTTAAGAAAATGGCTTTAGTAACGCCTTACGCATCCATGATCAAACTATCAACATTATAGTAACAAATTAATGTCTAAATCCTTCAAGAAAATGGTTCTTGTTAGCTAGTATAGCATGGCTCGTCATGACACAAATTTGGCCGTCTGCCAGGATGAGATACCTGTCAAACCTGACTCGGTTGGGTTAAGGCGGCCTAGGCTGATAATCATGTCCGAGTTCGGGCGTGTGTCTGCACGATGGCCACAGACATGTTTCGAACCCGAATCATGTTCCACCATGTTCGATATGACGTCATTCGAATAGAACGCGTGTTCGAATGGTCTATTAAGGGTTACCGGCGGTCGTTTGTATGTTTTCCCTGTAAACCCGCATTGTTACGCATTTTATTCACGGAGTATGACCTAAACGGCTTTACGCGCAGCTGAAAACAGCATAATTGACCTTTAGAGTAATCCATGTTTACGTATTATCACTTTTTTATCAAAATTGTCCGAGGCTATTTTGCATATGAGTCAATATTTTTTAACTGTGGCGATTTTTTAACGAAAAATGACAGAAAAATAGCTGTTTCTGTCGTTTTTGGCCCAAAAAAACAATGTAACTGTCATTTAAAACGAAATAGCCTCGGACAAAAATAATAAATAGGGGGTTGGCTTTCTACTTGTAAAATATCATGATGAAAGGTGTTGTTACCGCTTGCGCGTAAAGCCATGAAGTAAACAGCTTTTTTTTAAACCAAAATGTTGATTTTTAACCCAAAAATTCAGAAGTAGTAAAAACAAAATAACCTTTATTCAATGTGTTTCAAGTACTACTAGAGCTGTGTGAAGTTTAGTTGTGGTGCGACCAAGCTATCAAAAGTTACAGCCATATGTATGAAATACTACTCATAGTATGCCATTGGCTGCCTTAACCCAACCGAGGAGGTTAGATCATGGCGATGAATAAAATGTCACTGTGACGAGATAAGTCTTAAACACGATCTTGTTGGTTTATAAAACAACAATCCTCAATCATCTTTTAGAAGAAATTTGCATTCTACTATCCTATCTCGATCTAGTCCTTGAATCAGTCTTAAAGCTTGTTTTCAGTGTACATGTTCGCACAGTACGACGGTTTGTCCCGCTTAATATTTTCTGCGTGAATAGACAGGATAATGGCTTTTCATGCTGTGTCGTCTTGATCTTATTACTGCATATTATCTGATGGATTTTATACAACTTTCCAGACTTTTTACAAATGTTTTTGTTTGATATGTAAGAACGTGTAGTTGCTTTGTTTAATGGATAAGCAGTGTATAGGTGATACCTATAAAAGTAGTTGGTCATGGTATCGTCCAAATCTCATCAATTACTTTCGCATCAACGACAGTTAAACATGGCTCAATAAGATTATTGTAAATTGGCTAATATGTTTTGCTATTAACTTAAGACCAATACATGTCAGTTTTGCGAGAGAAAATTTTCATATGAGTCTAAGAAAAACATTGCTTGCGTAGACGAATGTACTAAACTACATTGAAACTCGAATATTTTGCTTAAAGTCGCTGGATCCTTTAAAGAAACATAACAATTTTCTATTCTCAAGTGACAATCGCCTACAACCTCGTAGATAACACAGCCTACTTAAAAATTCGTAATTATGACTTCACCACCTACTGGTGATGTCATATCTTTTTTGCTGACGTTTATTTTTCTCCTCCTGCCATTTCTTTAAATTGATCCAACTCCTTCATTTGGGGGCCAAATAACATGAAATTTACCGTTCACAAAGATTGTGAATGGTCAAAGTCGAAATTACCTGTCGGAAATATTACCTCCAGCCATATCTTCATCATGTCATTACAACCTTCGTAATAACATGGACCTAAGACCCCTTAGTCATTCTACAAACCGGTTTGCAAATTCTTTTGTTCAATATTCTTCTTTCTACTGGAACAACCTTCACTTGTCAACACGATCCCTAAATTACTCTAAATTTCGTCCATTTCTTCTTAAATCAATAAGGCCTGTTAAATTTAAGTACTTTAGTCACGGTGCTCTTATGGCACGATTTCGCATTGGCACGTGCAGCCTGAACTACAGTCTCTTTACTCGTGGATTATTGAACAGCCCAGCTTGTACCTGCGGATGCCAATGTGAAACCGTCCCACATTACCTACTCCACTGCCCCATGTACAACTCCCAACGATCTACTCTCCTTGGCAAACTATCCAGGCTCATAGGACACACCCTAGATTTTACAACTCTTTCTGACAACGCAAAAACTGACCTTTTACTCCGTGGTAGTCCCGTATTCTCATCAGTTGTTAACTCCAATATATTATCACTTACCCAAAACTTCATCACCACATCAGAACGTTTTTAAAATATTTAAATTTCCCCCTTTGTTATTTATGTACTGTGTCCTCTTTGCCATCATTTATCATTGGGTGGGGAACCGGACCTGCGCTCTTGAATTTCTTGTATTTACTGCTTTTTGCCTGTCTTAAAGTTGCGATTGTTTCTTTTCTTTATTATATGTATTTATTTAGTGGTGCCGTCAACATAAGTGCTTTCCACTTGAGTGAGGCACCACCATGTTCTGTATCCTTTTTTCATGTGAATGAATAAAAAAAACAAAACATGAAATTTGGCACGGAGGTACAGTGGCCAAATACCCCAAGTTTTTTTTTTTTTTAATTTTCTTAAAACAAGCTTTTAGAATGGTTTTATTGTGACTTTTTGTTTGTGTTATAGCATGGAGGTAGAAAAAAGAGAAGGCCCTCCTTCTCTTAGGTAATGTACTGCAGCAGTGTGTGTTGCCAAGATTGGAGTGTGACCATATTTGACATAGGGCCAATGCCCAAATATGGGCAGCAGGTGCACCCTGTTTGGAGATCTGGTCGCTGATTGGCTGTTCCCTTAATTAATTTACTGCTAAATGAACACCTGTGTAGGCTTCCACATACTTGTAATAGGAATATTTACTTCGTTTTTTTTTTACAAGTATTAGCCAGGAAAAGAAGCTTTAAGTCTTTTTGGTTGTAAATCGGTAGAAACATGTCATATAACCAACATTTCTATATACCTTGCTATTTTTTGAACCAAATTTTAAAATTTTTAAACCAGATGAGCTGCTTTACTCTAGTCGTCTTGCTTAATGGCTGTTGAGATCTATTTGGGTTAACTGTATTAACATCTGCACATAGTCATACCATGTTGACAGTATTGAACTGCATTCAAGTGTTTTGGGGTAGAGATGTAAAACTTTCCTTCTCAAGCATTGGAATGCGGGACATAAACGCTTTTTTTCTAATCGTGAAAATCAACAGCATTATGCAAATAAATCCTAACCAATAATGTAGGGAATAGCTATCCAACTGTTGCATTCTTAGTTATATGTCACTTCATACTATATTTATATCAATATAAAGCATTGTTTTCCCTTGTATTTCTCCTTCTTTCCCTGCCTTGTCGTGAAACGTCGTGAACTTATGCTACATTTGCTCCAAAGCAGATGTCGGCCTTATTACATTCTTTCCGCCCTAATTTTACACAGTTAATTATTATAACTCATTCCTCTTGGCTTGGGGCTCTGATTGTTTTTTTTTTATAAGTCACGGAGTATAAAATATCCGTTCAACTCCGTTAAAACATGTCAGAAGTCTACAGTTTCTACACCCGTCCGACCACATTTATTGTTGATATGCATTGTATTAATTAATCAATTAATTATTTAATTTTGTTGATTAACCTTGTAATATATTATGTGCTGTGCTTTTTACATTATAAGTTTCTTTTCTTGCAAACATCTTTCAATTAAGGGTTAATGACCCACCCAGAGGTGAAAATGGTGTGATAAAGCTTTGTTAATTGCTATGACCACCGAATTAAGCCATCGAGCGAGCGCAGCGATCAAAGTGGCTTTATGAGGTTTCATGATACAATACTTGTATTATGCTAACTGTGCATTATGGTGTCATAATCAACATAGAATGGGGGCTTCTGATTGGTCAACGCCATTTGGCTATATGATAATAGGATGTATAACAGCGGATTGATGCTGTGTCCACGGCATTTCAATATTTCCTCAGCCCTTCTATTCTTTAATGTAGTACAGTTTGCTAACCAGCCCAGGTGCCATTAGAACTATACTTTCTGTTGTTATATTTTCCTCTCGCTAGTATCTAGTGGAAAAAATGCGCGATCTATTTAGGAAAAAATCTCAATGAATGACATAAAACCCTATTTTCCAGGTTGCTGCGTTGCTTGCTTCTACTCCTTTTGATAGCGGCACTTGTTCTTGAGTCAGACGCTTGGAGGCGTCGACGTCGCCGCCGCCGCCGAGCAGGTAAGTCATTACCTCCGGGGGAGGAAACATCCTTCCGCGGAAGGGTTTTGTGAGAGATTTAGATTTTCATGTTCGCAGCTGTTTCTCGCTTTTGGGTGGACGGATTCTTTTGAGACTCGGTATATGTTTTGCTATTGAGCTGCAGATGATGCACGTTCTTTTGTTTTTATTGCATATGTGTTTTCAGGCGTGAAAATGGTGCCTTTTGGTGGTCCCAAAAACACCCCTTTGAGCGTGAAAGTGGTCGCGACCGTTGACCTTTGGCGTGTTTAAGCTATTCTCGGTCTGGCATATGACCCATCACACAGAGGGGTATCCGGTCTCGATAAATTCTTTGTTAAAACCCTATATAAAATGCCAGGAGGTATAAAATCTCAGATTTTACTTGTTTCTGTATTTTCTTTAATCACTTATACGTAAGGCAACGTATATTGCTCAGAAAAAAATGGAGTCAAACTAATTTGCAACTGCGCATTATGGCTCAGGTAGAAAAGCTCTGTCGGTAAACTTGTGTAAAATCGTAAAAAAAATATTGTAACTGATTATTCAGCCATTTTAACCCTACCTATGGGCTTTTTTTGATATGGGGGGACCGGGGGG